GATTTATGCTAGAAGACGGAGAAAGCACCTCACCTGCTTGCTTCTGAGCTCAGGAAGTGTGCCAAGTGGCTGGCCCACAGCACAGGCCCCACATATGTCCCAAACACTGTCAGGAATGTGGCTGGAATTTCCATATAGGTATCTAAGCCCACGAAGCCTGCTGAGATGTCAATGGTGGCAATGTTGTTGGAGTTTCCCTGGAACACAGGAGAACAGGGTTGACACTGGTTTAGCAATACAGACACCAACCACCACTATGTTAACGTGAAACACACACACATATGGCTCAGATGAGCACACCAATGAGGACACACAGTCAGAAGAGCCAGAGGCTCTGGTGAGCGCCAACTGCCTGCCATTTCTTCAGGTTACTAGGCTGGCTGTGGGTGACCTGTCCATCTGCCTGCCACATGATATAGGCCCAGGAGGAAGGAGTGGAGTACTAGGTCTTGTGCCACTGGCATAGGCCAGTCTGCTGGCTATTGAAGCATACCCACACCTCTGGCAGACCCAGAGGCTGACCTTGATACACGTGTGGATGTCCTACAAAGGCCTTCCAAGGTGATACATGTGGCCCTGTAGGGCACAGCTGCCCAGCGTGTCTGAGGGGACACTGGGCTAGAGGTCAAGTGCTGTCTATACAGTGGGTCCTGATGGATACTGCTGAATCATGTGGCAGAGTGGGCCAACTGCTCTGGGAGGGAACGTTCTGTTACTGAGGGTGGCTTTTCTGACTGCTGCCCACATTCTGGCTGGTTGTAGCCCAGCTCTGGTGGGCCATAAGATATGGGACATGGGGGACAATGCCACATAGCTCATCCTGCTATGGGATTTTTGGATCAAAAAGCGGATCTGCCAAGATTCTGCTACTTTACTGTCAGTCTGCTGGCAGTGATGACCCTCTATCTCTGTGTCATGAGGACCCTCTTCAGACGCTGAGGAAGCATATGGTCTGTGGCACACTTGCGTCCACAAGGCGCAGCCAGGGCCCCTCTTGGAACTGCCTACCTGAGCCCTAACTGGGTGTCCCAAACCCACTCCCTCATCCTTTGGCAGGTATGGTTCCAGGAACACCTGTGGCAGAGGTATGCGCTGCTCACTCCCTGCTCACCTGTGTGAGGCCATACCTGTTGCAGACGCCACTGTACATCTTCCCCTGAAACTCATTCTGCTCACAGTGAGCTGTTCCCTAACTCCTGGTGGGGGCAGTGGGGAGGGGCTTCCATGGGAAAGAAGCACGAGGGAGGATGAGGGGCAGAAGGCCTGGTTGGACGGGAGCAGGTCTGGCTCTGGGAGACTGATGGCAGCCCCAAAACAGCATCAGTCTGCAGAGAGGGCTGACCTCGTGGTTCAGTAGCTAGGCTGCACGCGCTGAAGCTCTACTTGTATGAATTCATAACCCTCAACCATGCTGATGCGGTGCACAGGGAGGAAACTGAGACAGAGACCAGGACCCGGCACAAGTGGACACCCATGTTCCCATCCTCATGCTGTGGAGGGAACGAAGGGCTCAGAGAAGGATGCAGGAGAAGCAAAGCTTCTGACTCTTCTCCCAGGAAACCTGACAGTGAAGGGAAAGAAGCTCAACCTGAAGGTCAAGGAGGGAAGTGAGGGGCAGAGAACAGAAGGACAAGAAGACAGCAGGAGGGTAGCTAGGGACTCCTCTGGCTGTCAGTGTGAGGCCTGGAGTCCAGTACAGGGGGGTACCTGGTGCAGAAACACTAGTGGTGTGGCCTGCAGAGCTCAGAGGGCACGGCTTGCTGCCCCATGCTGCCTCCTGCCACACTGTGGAAGCTGGGCCAAACCTGGAGCAAAGTGTGCTCCAGAAGCTGTCTCTTCGACCAGCATCAAAAATGTTCAGTACCAGGGCCAGGCACAGCTAAGCTCCTGGCCGCACTACAACCTGGGATAAGGGCACTACGTACTGTTCCCAGCTTATAGATAAGGAAACTAAGGTGAAGCAGGTGCTTGCCAGAGGTTACCAGGTGGGAAGTCCTGGATATTAGCATCTGTGCCTGTGGCTCTCTGCATTCTATTAAGGACCCCTATGCTGGCATCCAGGGGCCCCTGCCTTCCACAGGAGCAGAGTCTACAGTGGGGAAGCTTAGCTGGCATATGGAGTGAGTGACCAGGGGCTGCGATAGTTGGGAGGCCAGGGAACTCTAAAGCATGATGGTCTCCACCTGGTCATGCTACACAAGGACTTAAGAGATTTCTCTAATTTCACCTACCACCCTTGGGCTTTGAGGTCAAACAGAGACAAGCCATTTAGTTGTGGGCTGCTCCACAGGTAATGCTGGGAGCTTAGGAAACCAAGAGCAGAGGAGGCTGGGGAAGAGACTGACCTGTTGGGACACACAGCCAGACAAGCCTCTGGGAGCCTTTGGGTCTGTTTGGCATAGGAAGGCTGATGGAGGAGACAGAGATGTCCCGTAGCTGATCAGTCAGGGAGCTGAGTTGGGAGGGGATCAGAGGAGAGGTGGCACTTGCTCTGGGGATCCCAGGAGGCTGGTGGAACTGGATCCCTCCTAGGCTTGCCCCCTGTCCAGGAGTTGTCCTACCCCTGCATACCCAAAGTGGGCTTGGCCTGCTGCTGATGGGTCTTTGAACACTGGAGAGATGCCCTGACCATCCTTCAGGCCCCAGGGTGGACAGCTCCAATACCAAGGGTAAAGGGATGAGGAAGCACAGTGACTAACTGTTGAAGCCAGTGAAGGGCAGACCCGCCTCCTAGACTGTCGGTACTAGGTGACCCCCTGACCCTGCAAAGCAGCAATCTTGTCTTACACCCATTCATCCACACCTTGGAGCTGTACTCTACTCTTAAAGTTTCACATGAAATTGAAGCATAATTCATCATGCATACTGACAATTCTTCCACTGAACAAATATCACTCTACAACTTGTAAAATTTTCTCAAAGAAAACTAAAAGATTAAATGACGTTGAAACTTAATAGTCTTCTACCCAGATAACAACAACCTACCTGAAAATAGAAGAATGCTTGACCGAACCAATAATGCATTACAGTAATCTCAGCTGCATCGTGTCTCAGAGGCTTCCAGATGAATTTAGTCATTACAGTCTGAATCAAGAGACTAAAGGCTAATACCGGAAGATTATGTGGTCTCAAGAGCAATGCTGCCAGAAGAACTAATCCACTATATATCTCCCACAAACCTACAGTCTTGATTTTGAAGTCTGCAGCAATGACTTGGGATTTAAGCAAGTCTTTGGTGCCCGTGAACAGAATGCCAAGGACAAAGACATAAACAAAACGAGCTTCAATAATACCCCTAAAAAAAGAACAAAACAAGTTAATTCATTCATACCAGCTAGAAAAATTCAAATACATATTTTCTCATGAAAAACATATATAACTGGGGAGTGCCTGAATGTGTCCAGCCAGCTAAGGGGGCTGTGACACCCTTGTGGAAGGAGTGTCACCTCCACCATCTTCCTGCAAGGGGCAGCCTGATGTGTGCCTTCCTTATGGAGTTGGTGAAGTCATGCTCATGTGGTCCCAGGATCACCTGGTTGCAAGACCACAGCCACACCCCTGCAGCATACCAGAAAAGCCACCTACCTGCTTTGCATCGTTAACCGAAATCCTCTGTGCTAGCCCAGCTGTCAGGAATGTCTACAAGTTCACAAATGTTAAGTGTGCGACTGAGCGTGTCACTGTAAGGCAAATCTAAACGAGGATCTGCACAATTATATGTACACATGTGGAAAATGGACCATGGTCCAAGCCACTCAGTCCTGTCTCTGCTGCTTACTAGCTCTATTTTTGACTTCGACACTCAGCTCTGCCATTTGTGGAAAGAACAGAGCAGCATCAACAACTCACATGCCTGTCCTAGCAATTAGCAAGAGAGAGCATATAAAGTGTTTGGCAGATAGTAAACACTTGATACATACTAAGTGCTATGATGAACAAAGTACTTGAGAGCTTCATTTAAATCTATAAAGGATATAATTTATGATACCACACTTGAGAACTTCATCTTATGAAACATATATTACTTTTTTTTGAGGAACTGGGGATGGAATCTAGGGATGCTTTACCACTGAGCTCTACCCTAGCCCTTTTTTATTTTGAGTTGGGGTCTCATTAAGTTGCCCAGGCTGGTCTTAGACTCGTGACTCTTGTGCCTCAGCCTCCTGAATTTCTGGGAGTAAAGGCACATGCCACCACGCCACATATATTCCTAAAACATATATATTTTATATAAACTAAAAAAGCTGATCATTTAAAATAATGCTAACTAAGTAAATTTTAAGTGAATACCAACATAATATCAGTTTTGAAAAATGAGTTCCTATATTAGGTTTTCTTAGAAATGTTTATGCCTTAAAAATATTCATTTTTTAATTTGATTGGTTTAATCCAAACAGTGTGGGCACTGTGTGCCATGTGCCTGTTACATGGCCCTGGTTGGACAGCTGAGTTTAGGTGTCCTGCCATGCCCAGGCCAAGACGAAAGTGAGAACAGTCCAGGTGGGTTCTGAGGTCAGAACCACTGAAGAAGTTTCAAAGAGAAAGAGGGTCTAGAAGAGGGCCTGCCTGAGGACAAGATGACAGAGCTGCTGGTGGTGAACAGGAGGGAGGTGTCACTGGACATCTCCCATGGACCCGCCTCACTCTGATAATCAGTGCTTCTGGCACCCCCAGGACTACCCTGCTTGACCTCACACTCCAGCCAAGCCTGGCTTCTGAGTGGAGAAGAGAGTGAGGTACCAAAAGCAAGGGATCTTAAAATACTGGATGAATCTAGAACCACAGCAGATCCAGAACCAGGTGGATCTGGAACCAGGAAGTATTCAGAAGCAGGACAGATGAGCAGAGGGATGGACGCATTTTATAGGAAGCACACTGAAATAAAAGGCACACTGGCAGGCTGGGGTTGTGGCTCAGTGGTAGAGCGCTTGCCTGGCATGTGTGAGGTACTGGGTTCAATCCTCAGCACCACGTAAAAATAAATAATAAAATAAAGGTATTGTGTCTGTTTACAACTAAAAAATAAAGAAAAGAAAGGCTATGTTCTGGACACCAGCAAAGGACATGCTGCAGATAGCAGGCAAGACAAGGCAAGGTGGTTGAAGTCTTGAAGTGAGAGATGCTGACATCAGGCACATAAACCTGGGAAGAAACGAGGAACTCATTCACATACTGCACTGTGTGACAGTGTTCAGCCTGGAAGTCTGCCAGGTCTCAGACTGGGAAGCCAACAGCTTTTGAGGTGTCTCCATGGATTGCTCTGGCACTGACCTCTGCAGCCTCTGGGGCAGGAAGCCCTACCATGCTGCTGCCCCCCGCCAGCAGGCACTGCCTCAACACCATTTCTGTCAGCACGTGCTTCTGGAATGCCTCCGAACCACCTGCACAGCCCCGCCACGACCCCTGCTCAGAGCTGGACCTTTTGCTTAATTAGAGAAGCAATACTTGTGAATTCTAGACACACATAAGTTTTAATAATACGTAAAAAGAAAGATTACAATCCACCTATGACCTCAGGTTCTAAATATAATTACCAATATTTTATTTCAGTCTTTTATATAAATATGAAAAGTGAAACACACTTGTTGGGGTCATATGACAGTTTTACAGACTGTTGGTCCACAGTGTCCTGCCTGAGAGCTTCCATAGAACTGTGAGGGTCACCACTCTCATCAGACAGCTGCCTTGTCCTGACTCTCGCAGCTGTAAGGGATGCCTCAGGGAGCATGCCTGCGTCTCCATCCCTCCTGCCCTCTGCCTTACCTCAAGAGCTGCTTAAGAAGAAAGACAGCCTGTCAAAGGGGTAGCTATGGTTGCCACCTCTCAGGAGTAGGCAGAGCCTGTACCACCATACCCCCAAGCAGAAGAGGCCACCAGCAGGTAGAAACAGTGGTGACTGAGTGCTCCTGATAGGCGTGGCACGAGCTCCTGGCCCTCTGGGAGCACACTGTAAATTACGAGGCTCTCTGCTTCCTCTCCCACCTGCTGGGGAGCAGCACTCACTGTCACCTTCTCATCTCTACAGTCATATCTCAATGACCTTATTTCCAAGTTTTCTTTCTCTCCTAAAAGAATTAACAGAGTAGTTCATTAAGGTTTGGTAAGCTCTAGTAGCTATCAATGAAATCACCATTCACAAAAACCAAGCCCTAGTGCTGTAAGATTGGCATGGCATTTTTTAGGACATAAATTACCATAAAATACAAAGATACTTCTAAAATCAAGTTCTCATGTGTCCAGTGCACTTACTTTGAAAAGCCTTTGTCGCCTGGTTGCCATGGAAACAGCACATTCCCAATGGCTGCCCTGTAGCAGAAAACACCCAGCAGCCCCAGTGCCAAAGCTGCTCTGGACACTAGGGAGCACCCTCTCTGAACCAACAAGAAGATCACCAGCAGGGAGAGAGCGGCCAGACCAGAGAGCTCCACCTTATGGTCAGAGCTGAAATGAAACAGAAAATGCAGAATCATTACCAAACTAGTGACCTCTGAGTCTCATAGTAATGATAGCTACGTAAAAACAGCTAATTTTCCTGATAAGGGAAAACAAAAAAAAAAAAAAGGCTGGTTGTTTAAATTCAAACAAAGGTTCTTCAAACGTTACAAATAAGACTGCCAAGCTGAAGTCTCCCTTCCCCTCACAGATGGACTCAGAGGTGCACACGGTCCCAGTCCCCTGGACCCTCCTCTCCTGGCCTGTGCCGCTCACTCACACAGATGAACTCAGAGGCTGCCACCCCACAGTCTCCTGGATGAGGAGGAGTGGGCAGAGCACATGGTACACAGAGTACATGGTACACAGCTCATACTCACACAGCTCAGACTGGCAGCAGTGGTAAAATGGATGAGTAACTTTCTTCCAAGGCACACACAGAAAGGGGAAAAGACTTCAGAAATCTGAGGAGTGATGTGGCAGTGTCAAGTCAGGAGGATGGCCTTCCTGGGGTCGCCTGGTTTGAACTGCGCCACCATCTCGGGTGTTCTTCTGCACTGCGGCACACCACCACAGAAAAGGCAGGGGCCTTTCCAACAGGATGCTGCTGCCTCTTTACCATCAACAGGAATGCTCAGACAGTGCAAGGACAGCTCAGGAGGCAAGCGGCAGCATGTCCTTGCCTGAGATGACAGGCCAACAACATGCCAGGACTGTTCCAATGCTTCAATTTCCCAAGAAAATATGAAGTGGGGGTGTCACTGTGCTCTTCTGGGGCAGGAACTTCACACAGTCGGGCTCAGTGGCCTGGCCTCTCTCTAGCCCTGCTCCTTAATCTCCAGCTTGGGAATTCACTTCCAGGGCTGCTCTGGGACACACGGCAGACACCAGCGGTCTGCTGGAACATGCAACTTGCTGACTCAGCACTAGGGAATCCCAAAGGAGAGGCCATGTGGGGCCAGGGTTCTTCGGCTCACCTGTGCTCAAGCTGGGCTTCATCATCACAGGTGCAAGATAACCTGCGACGTGAACCTGAAACTCCCTGGGCCCCAGAGGACCAGCACTGCTGCTGTGTTTTGCAGTTATGAGGTCCATGAATTGAGCAGATGGTCACCGTCTGCTCCTCTTGCTGTTCTTGTCCATTTTAGCACCCCAGTAAAAGAGCCATCTTGACTTCTGCCTCAGTTTCCTTCGTGTGTACCATCCTTACTTTAAATGCTCCTGTCCGCTATAGTTCACTTTCTCTGTGCTCTCCAGCCACAGTAAGAGGCTCATAGTGCTGACCATCGTCACACGCTCTGTCCTCCCGGATGGAGAAAGAGAGATGACAAGAGGAAGAAGGAGCTACGAAGGGCAGAGCTGCAGCAGAGGCCCCAGCCCCCTGCCCAGCTGACCTCATCCTTCCCGTCCCAGGCAGCAGTGCAGATTTAGCCACTATGAGCTCAACCTAGAGTCATATCTTAGGAGCAGTCACTCTAGAATTCAGGGTCTTAATCATGATCAGTTATCTGTAATTCAGCACCGAAAACCTATCAGGCCACCTTTCAACACTCGTTCCTGAGTTACATTTGCTCATTTCTTTAGATTCCTTACATTATCCTATTCATAAGATAAAACAGGCCTAAATGTAAAAGACCTAGTGTGTGACCATCACCTACAGAGGGTCTAGCCCATAGCTGAGGCTCATGCTTACCTGGTGAGCCAGAGGCCGAGGTCAGGCCTGTGGGCTCCCTGCACTCCCGTCTGGTTCAGGGACCGCAGCAGTCGGCAACAGGCCAGCACCAGCCAGGGGCTTGCCAGGATAGCCCACCGTGCGTGGCCCCCAAGTGCTTCTGAGGAGGGGGAGGTGTGGCCTGCTCTGTGGAGTATGGGGGCTCTGTAGACTGCACTGTCCTGCAGCATGTGGACACTGTGCTGAGGCTTGCTGTCATCTCCTGGAAAGCAGCTACGGCAGGCTTCTTGGCTCAGAGCCAGACACAGGGTATTGACCAGGAAGTACCAGGTCTGATGCTCCTCTTCCACAAAGCTGCTGGCACCCAGGCTCAGGACGTGGCCTGCTGTGCCCAGCATCAGGAGAAGGTCCATCTCTGACCACCTGGAGCTGGGGAGAGCTGCATTCTGTGAGGAGGAAATGCATTTTCCGTAGTAATCTGAAAATGACATGTGTCTCTCTGCATGTGCTAAAATCCTCACTCACAGTGAAGAACCCCCTGTGACAGACACCTGCTGGTCCTCAGCCCAGTGCCTGCTGCCCATTCTGGAAGACCCCTCCCCTGCTTCTGGGACATTGACACCACATGGCCGGCCAGTTGTCCTCACCCTGGACTGCAAGTCATAAGCTCGGTGGCAGAGACTGAAAGCACCTGGGCTCTCTGGGCAGTGATAGAGCTTGGGGCACTGGCCAGTGGCTCCTGACCCAGCCCTCCTGCTCCCGCTTCCATGCCAGTTCCTGTTCAAAACCAAAGGACCCTGATAAATTCCTTAAACCACACATCTAATTTCTCCATGAATTTCCAGAACTCCATGATCCCCACTACAATGGTTTCTGTTAAGATGACAAGGGTGGCACACAGTACTATCCATGAAGCAGGCTGGCCAAAGACCGTTCAAGATGAGGGCGCAACTGTTCGCATTCTTTTGAAACCATTGCTTGTGAGGTACCCAGGGAGAGTCACCACGAGCCCAGCCAGGCCCTAGAGATGCAGCTGTGGATGAAGACCATCATGCCCTAGGGACACATGAGTGCCTGGGCCCAGACACAGCAGAGGGCCTCCGAAACCCCTGCAAGGAGGGATGGGGCTGGAGTCTCTGCACAGGGCACTCTGGACCCAACTGCAACTATCCATTCTTCCTGTCACCACCTCTAAGCTCACAAACAAAGGTGCCAAACCAGAGACTAAGAATTGCAAAAGAAAATGTCAGCCTTGAAAAGAAAACTGCACTTGGTGAAGCTGACCAGATGAGCAGGGCCATCCTGTGTGTCTACCTGAGACTGTCCCTCAGTCACAGGGCAAGGGCCTACTAGGACTCAGACTCACACTCCCCATCCTTGTGTAGCAGCTCTGCTTCTACTTCCTCCCCAGTTCAGGAAACCTTTTTTCTCAACTGAGAATAAAGGGCTGGGACCTGACTACAACCATAACCTTGCAGTCAAGATGCCAGAGGTCTGGGTGGCTGCTGAGGTCCTTCCCAACTAACCCCTCTGGTATGTGGCTTTCCCAGGGAACTGCCCTACCAGAATTATACTGGAACATGCCAGGTGTTCAACCAATGTCTGATGACTGGAAGTCTGGCCGACATAACAAGAGCGTACGTGGATACAGCCTACCTTCCTCAGGAGAGTGCTCTCGATGACAGTCCGGGTGAGAGTGGAGACAATTGCACAGAGCAGTGCGGAAACCAGAACCATCAGCCCTCCTGCCACCAGCCACGGGAGGCTACAGAGGTAGCAGGAACTTGTGGCTGAGGTGCACACTATGACGTGAATGGCCGAAAGAACGAGGAATACCAAATAAAAGAGCAGGGAAAACACAGGAGACCGCAGAGGAACTTCCAGGTCAGCCCCTCTGCGCAGCGCCTGTGGGCTGCTGAGGAGGAGCAGGGTGAGAACCTGGAACAGAAAAACACCAGTGGTTTCTGTGAGCAGGTGGCATCCCTCTGAGCTCATCAGCTGCTCATACAGCGAGGTCAGAAGAGCCCATTGAAGGATTACTTTTAACTGTCTACCCAAACCACATGCCTTATTATTTCTCTTCCCATGGCAATGCTGAAGGTAGACACCTGTTGCATGCACTGCTTTGTGTCCAAGTCAAGGCACAAAACAAAAGGATTGAAAAATTCAGTTTTCTTGTTTAGCAACAACCTTATTATATATATTTTGAACTGTCCTATTTTGGCTGAGTTACCAAACAAATTTAGCACCTGAGCCATGGCTCCATGAACATCCGTACCTCCAAAACCACAACAGTCCCCACTGCCATCGAGTAGATATCGTACTGGGCCACTTGTGTGCTCAGAGACAGACTCAGGGTCTTCAGTGCACCCAGGTACTGCCTGAGCACCTTGGTTCCAAGGCTGAGCAGGACGTCTGAACGGTTTTCCTCCAAGTGTAGTTTGACCCAGTTCCCATGCAATCTTTCGGCCATTTTAAACTGTTCAAATCCGGGATCTAGCAAGAGAACCAAAAGATCACACGCATGTCAGAACAGACACAATTCCAGAGTATTCGGTTTTTCTTGGCACATTTTTAGAACAGATACCTCTCTGTCCCTTTAGGGGAGGGGCTGAGGAAGCTGAGGAAATGTGTGTGTCCATTATCAGCAATGTCAGGCCTGGGTCATCAGCACACACAGTGACAGAAATGTCTGCTGCTGCTCTGCCTGGATTCCTTCTTCACCTCCCTCACTTGCCTTTCCCCTTCCTCCCTGTTGTCTCTTTCCACTCTTCTCGTGCAGTATTAAAACTACCCTGAAGTGCATTACTGACAGGCCCTGTTTTGCAGAATGCTTGTCTTGGCAGTGTGTGTGGGGACCTTGCCCACCATGCCTACCTGCCCAGCAAAGGCTGGCCCTCTGTCCTTGCACTAGCACCACTGAGGCCTGTCCCTGCTCAGGATGGCCAGTGGTGCAGCCTACATGGAATGCCAGCTCCCAAAAGAACCCAGCCTCATGTCTGCTGGAGACCAAGGCTGACATGGCCCTTTTCTAGAGCTGGCTGGGCTAAGTCTTTGCTGGATCACACTTACTAGTGACCAGATGGGTCTGTAAACCAAGAACTTCCTCTCTGAGTCTTCATGCTCCAGAAGGGCCACTGGAGGGCAGTCTTAGTGTGCCTATCAGCAGGCTCCCCAAACAGACACTGAGCTTGGGGGATTCTGTGAGCACACCTCGGGCCTTGCCCAGCAAGTGACATTAGCTGCTGAAGTCTAGAGCCTGTGGCACAAGCCCCAGACGTGTACCCCGAGGCCTGCAAGCCAATCTGGGAGAACTGGAGGATGTGACCTGGAAGAGGCAATGGCCAGCACCACGCCAAGCAACTTATTCCTTGTTTTCCATAGCAATGAGCTGGGAGTGTCATGTGAGCATCATGCCTGTTTCCAGAGGCAGCATCTAAGACAGAGGGCAAATCACCTGCTACTCACAGAGCGGTGGGAGTAGACATCTAAACTAAGGGTGAAACTCCAAAGCTGGCAACAAGATGCTACACCTCCCACCCTGAAGTGGGCCACTTGTGTCCACAGTTCCTCTAAGAGAGAGAAACACAGGCACCTGTGTCTATACCCCACAACGTCCCCATCTAGGAATCACAGAGACATGGGGCCACCTGTTCATTTATCCAAACAAACACTTCCTGAGCCCTGACTATAGGCCAAGGGTGGTATGTTGGGTAAGACACATGGTGAGTGAATAGGTACAATTCCTGCTTCCTTGGCAGGATTCTGTAGGGGTCACTCACACACACACACACACACCCTTATATACTGAGAAGAATGCTGCAAAGGAAAAGCAGATGGTATAATGCAAGACCTCTGGTAATGGGGAGGAACTGATTTAAGATTGTAAGTGGGGTGGGAAAAGGATAGTCTGACTTGTAAGCTGAAAGTTAAGGATCCCAGGCATGTGCAAAGATCCTGAGGCAAGGAACAGCCAGTCCCACAAGAGTGGAAAGACTGCCCAAGGACAGGATGGGTAAAGTGGGTCTCTATAGGCTTTTCTGAGAGCTATACCATTTCTGTGTTAGCACATGTACGGACAGTGTGGACACAGGCTTCTTGGGGGTGTAGGACCCCAGGGATGTTTCCTCATTCCAGGGGCCGTCCTGGGTTTGTCTGGCAGGGTCATCTCTTCCCCTACTCACTCTGGCTCTCCATTTCTCCTACCCTGATATTTCTGAAATAGGCAAACAATGCTTCCATTGTCTCTTGCTTTCATTGGTGTTTTTTCTAGTGCAAGAGAAAGGGTACATATTAACAACAATAAATATGAAAAACTATCATGCTGATAAAAACTATTTTTGGAAAAAATAAAAACAAACAACCAAAAGTAATAGTTGGGTCTGGTCTGGACTGAAATGTGTGCTGCCTAGGCCTCACCTGCGAGAAGCTCCTCCCTAGACACCTCAGGGCTATGCGCTGGCTCAGCAGGTCCTCCCGCCCTGTTGCCCGTGGCTCCTGGCCAGTCCCCAGTTGCAAGGCCTGTCTTCTACATGTGACACTCACAGTGTCACCTGCTGCTGGCAGCACCCCACAACCTCCAAGAGGAAGACCTGCTAACATCAGGTCAAGTGCTGCCTCAAACCGGAGGCACCTTCTCTAGACTTCAGATGGGGCCTGGGGTCAGGTGAGTTGGTATTTGATGTGCTTGGACGTGGCAGAGTAAAGTATTTGAAAATACAATTCAACAAATTATAAAAAAAATGTTCAACATCCCTGGAAAACAGGGAAATGTAAATCAAAACTACACTAAGATTTCATCTCATTTCAGTCAGAATGGCAATGATCAAGAATACAAATAATAATAAATGCTGGTGAGGATTAGGGGGAAAAGTACACTCATACACTGTTGATAGGACTGCAAACTCATACAACCATTCTGGAAAGCAGTATGGAGATTCCTCAAAGGGCTAGGAATGGAACTACCATATGACCCAGCTACCTGACTCTTTGGTATTTATCCAAAAAGTCTAAAATCAGCATACTACAGTGACATAGCCACATCAATGTGTATAGCAGTGCAATTCACAAAAGCCAAATTATGGAACCATCCCAGATGCTCGTCAATAGATTAGTGGATTAAGAAAAGGTGGTACATACACATAATGAAATCTTACTTTTTTCAGCAAATGGACAGAACTGGAGAACATCATGCTAAGTGAAACAAGTCAGACTCCGAAGATCAAGGGTCAAATATTTTCTCTCATATGCTTAAGCTAAAGAAAAATAAGGGGAAAAGGTGGGGTGGGGATTGGATATCATAAAAATATACAGGAAGACCAATGGAGTAGAAGAGGGAGATTGAGAGGGAGGGAGGAGGGAAGGGAAAAGGGAGAAAATGGGGAATGAATTTAACAAAATCATGCTATATGCATATGTCAGTATACCACAGGGGATTCTACCTGTATGTGTAGGTAGAAAACACCAACCAAAAATAAGTAAATGAGAGGAAGGATGATCAGTGGAACAGAAGGAGGGAGAAAAGGGGGCACCTGGGACTGAAATGGAATAAATCAAATTCCATGCATATGTGATTTTGTCAAAATGAATCCAACTACTGTGTATAACTCTAATGCTCTAAAAACAAACAAAACAAAACTCAAATATCTACAGAGGGCCCCAGGAAGGCATATTCTTATCCAGGGACCATTTTTTAAAATTAATTTAAAATTTTTTGTTCCTCCCAGGACCATTCCTATTGGCACATAAACATCCTTTGTAGCTCTGGCTTAAATTGAAAACACTTGCTCTCAGCCCCACATCAACCCAGTCCATTTCCCTGCTCACCTTCTGTTGTCCTCACCTGTACCACCCCAATCAGGCTTCCCCAGTATCCCATTGAGCTGGTCTGCAGGTCCTGATGAGCCTGTACTGCCAGGTCAGCAGTCAGTTCCCAGTAGTTGACACATAGCCACATCAATGTGTATAGCAGTGCAATTCACAAAAGCCAAATTATGGAACCAGCCCAGATGCTCGTGGGCAACACTGCTTCCTCATGAAACTCTGTTCATGGCTTCCTGGTCACTGTGCCCCACGACCCTGCCTTGCAAACTTGCTCCTGTCAAAGTCTTGCCCACAGCAGTGTATGATAGCCCCCTTTCACTGCCACGCTGAGAACACAGAGGCCCATCCTTCCCATGGGTCTTCTATGACCTTGTATTCCAGTGCTCCAGCAGATCCTGTTTCACTCCCTTCAAAACATCCACAGTGTAAAGGCCTCTCCCAGATTCTACTGTTTCTCCCAGATTCCACTGCCACCGGCAGCCTCCTCTTTCCCCAGAGCACTGCAATTGCTTTCTGACTCATTTTCTCCTGAGAGCCTTGGAAAACACACACCCAAGATTCTGGGTTTGGTGCAAAATCCTGCAGTGCCCCCCACCTTACCCAGAATAAAAGTCAAAGCCCTCCGATGCCCAGTGGGCCCCCATATCTCTCTGACGTCCCTGCTGCAGCACCTGGTCTCCTCAGCCTGTGGGGCTCCCTCTTGGGCATCTACTCAAAGGTAAGTCCTGTCGCCAGCACCCACTCCTGCACTCCCCTTCCCTGTGCATTCTTTTTCAAGGTGGCCATCTGGCATCCACCATGGTACTTTTCTTTCCTCCCTCTGGAAGGTTTTGTGAGGACAGAAACCTTGTGCCATGTGTGCTTATCTCCAGTGCCTTTAACACTCCTTGGCTCATAAGAAGAACATGGTGAATGTTAGCAGAATGAATACGGTTATGAAGGAACCACACCTAGATGAGGCATCTGTGGGTGCTGAGGCTGACAGGTGAGGTTCTGAGGGTCAGGAAGGCAGGGACATGGTGGAAGAGCGTGAGACACAAAGTAGCCCATGACAACCACAATGCACAGCACAAAACACATGGGAACACGGGGCACAGATGCTGACCTCAGAGGCTGGGAACTGCCAGTTAGCTTACCTTTCTCATAAGATGGCATGTTCTCCTGCAGCAACCTGCTGAGCTGCACTGTGTTCAGGTGTAAGAATCTCAGTTGTTCCCTCACTGGTTTCCCTTCTACAACTGGGAATAAGAGACTCCCCACACTGTCTTTAGGAATTGGCAAACCAAGTCCAATTGCCAGTGTTGCAGCCAAATCAGTCTGCTGGACACGCTTTGGGTGTCGGATGTCCCCTAGAGAAGAGAGAACATTCTAAATGACAGGGAGATGGTATGCATTCTTGAATTTGGCCTTCTACAAATGTCTTCAAAACATTCACCACAGACTCACATAGAAACCACATCCTTGAATGACACTTTCCTGGGAGAGACTAACAAACAATTCAGTACTGCATGAGTTGCTGAGCAGGGCTGAGCATGGAGGTGGCAGGCAGTCCTGCAGAGGCCAAGAGTGGTCACTTCAGTGATGTCAACAGTCCACACTAAACCTGACTATATTAGTTTCAGAACACTCTGGGTTCTCTCTAGGCCCCCTGGCTCAGCTCTCTGTGGCCCCTGAGCAGATGCTTCTCCTGGGGAGATCAGAATGAGGCTGAATTTACTGAGCAGGTGTCACCCTTGACTTGGAGCTGCAAGATGTCCGCCTGTAATGAAAGGTCTTCAAGTCCAACAGCAGCAGGCCAGGCTGCTAGCCCCTTGCAAGGATGGTGGGTGTGGTGTCAGGACACTGTAGCTGGCCATCCTGCTGGCTCCTTGCAAGGGTGGTGGGTGTCTTGTCGGGACACTGCAGCTGGCTATCCTGCTGGCTCCTTGCAAGGGTGGTGGGTGTCTTGTCGGGACACTGTAGCTGGCCATCCTGCTGGCTCCTTGCAAGGGTGGTGGGTGTGGTGTCAGGCAATAGGTCCGTTCAGGTCCTGCTCTGCCACTGTCCGGCACAAACTTGAAGAAATTCAGCCTGGTTGAGTTTTCTCATCTGTAAGGAGAGCCAGCAGCCCCATCCCGCCAGAGGCTGTGAACAGGCCTGCAGGTCTTCCTCTGTCACTAGGAAGTCGACCCAGATGGCCCAGCAAGGTGTTGGTCTCTTGGATACTCAAGTGTGACTCTGTGCAGATTTTACTTTAATTGTAGTGATTTGTGGCTGTGCAGACTTTTTCATTTGGTCAAATTTATCTTCTCGACTGATCCTTTAACAATGGCTTCTGGGTTGTGCTTAGAAGGAACTTTCCTCTACGATTTTATTATTTGTTTTCTTCCTGTGTGTGTGTGTGTGTGTGTGTGTGTGTATTTAACAATAAGCTAAAACAAAACAAAAGCACAACACAGATCCACCCCCACCTGCCCAGGTCTCACACACTCCTGAGATCATATATCTGCCAGAGATGGCACAGGTGAGTCATACGCCCCTAACTATCAACTTTGGGTGCTGATAACCAGGTTGGGAGGTTGAAAGTGAGGGAGATGTAGAAGGGCTTCAGCAGCCAGGGCAAGATGGTGAGTGAGGAGGTCAGAGGCAGGACCAGAACAACACAGCATGGAGAGGGTTTTCTGATGTGGTCAATATCCTGGTTAACACAAGTGCTTGTGAACAGAAGCACTCTCTTTTTTTTTTAAAATTTAAAATTCCAGACAGACACTTCTGTACTTGTGCTCGTAAGCAGGGGATCTGATAGAAAAACTGAAGTAGACAGGTAGACAGAAGGAGCACCCATCGATAATAGTGAGAAGAGTGTGGACAGGGGAGGAAAGGAGGAAATTCCAGAGACCATAAAAAGAACAAGCCAAAACTCCCCCACCAGACACCCAGCTCTGGGGCCCCTTCTCTTTAGAAAGTCTATCTCTGTCACTTTTAGAATAAACCTGCCGCTTGCTTGCTCTCTCTGTGTCCTGTTCTTCAATTCTTTGCTGAGTGGAGACAATGAACCCAGTACTCCTGGAGGGTAATGAAAGGACAGAGTAAGGTCTAAGCAGTTCATTGCATCATCCTGAATATGAACTGGAAGAATACAAACTCAAGCCTGTTTTATCTTAGATTTCCTTACTCTGTCCAGAGAACAGAGGGGCCAGCATCAGCAGGCACCTCCCTCTCTGAGAGGGTGGCCCTCAAACAGTACTTCCACTCAAAGGAAAAGGTGGAAGCTGATCAGGTCTCAAGGACACCGCACAATGGACTAGCAACACTGCACAGACCAGAGGGCCAGGAGAGCGGACAACTACCACCAAGGCCTTGTCTAAAGGACTCAGGAGCTGATACAAAGATATTCCCACTGGCCAAAGATGTGGCAATTGAATACTAAAAATAACTGATGAGTGGAATCAAATCAACATGCCTAACTCCATAAGTTCACAACGATACTAAAAAGAAGAGCAAACTTAGTTGTGAACTCATTCATCAAAATGAAATTGGTGAGGAATAACCCCCATTTCTTGTCTCTCTTTTTTTTAAATTTAAAATTCTTTTTTTTAATATTTATTTTTTTAGTTGGACACAATATCTTTATTTATTTATTTTTATGTGGTGCTGTGGATGGAACCCAGGGCCTCGCACATGCTAGGCGAGTGCTCTACCGCTGAGCCACAACCGCAGCCCGCTTGTCTCTCTTAACATTGGGCAACAGAAAAGCAGGCACACGGGGGAGCTTTCTTTATAGCATTATTCTGGCTGCTTTGGTTTGAAGGCATCTCCCAGAATTGTGTGATGGAAGCATCATCTCCAATGCACAGTGCTAGGCCTGGGTCCTCTGGGCAGGCGTCAGCTTATGAGGCCAATGCTGTTATTAATGGGCTTGGCAGAAGGAGTGAGTCCTTCTTGCCCTTCTGCTTTCTGCCATGTGAATATCAGCACCCCTCCCCTTGGTAAGAGGCAGCATTTAAGCTCCAATGTGGAGATGGAGTGCTCCATATTTCGTGTCTTGGCCTTGGCTTTTCCAGGCTCTAGAACTGAGAAATAAACTCATTTTCTTTTAAGTTATCTATCTGTGGCATTCTATTATAGCAGCTCTCATGGACTAAGGCACTGGCTAAGAAATACCTATAATATATTACCTATAATTACCTATAATATAATACCTATAGGAAATACCTATAATAGTTAAAACAACATGGTTTGCAAACTCCACTGAACTACTGGACCTAGTTGACATTCAATGGCTGCCAGAATCACAAAACAGCAGATAGCCAGAGACTATATCCTTCCTGGGGCAAGCAGCCCTGCTCAGACCAGACAGGACAGACCAAACAGACCAGAAAAGGACAAACCAGAACAAACCAACCAGAGCAAATGAGACCAGACCAGAATAAACCAGAACAAAGTAGACCTGACCAGAACAAACCAGACCAGACCAGAAAAGAATAAATCAGAATAAAAAACGAACCAGAACAAACAGACCAGACCAAAGCATACCAGAACAGACAGAACTGAACAAACCCACTGCCTGAATCTGCTTGGTGTCTGGGTCAGAGGAAACCCATAGGATGGATAGAGAAAGTCTCAGTTAACAGTGAAGAGAACAAGCAGCAAAATCCATTGCAGGAGACTCCGTGGGACAAATAACCGGCTTCTTCAACAGTAAGTTGTGGTAAAATATAATTTCAAGATATTGCCGCTTCTATCAAGGGATAACAATAAGGACCTGGTAAGAAGTCACCAAGGTCCCTGTGGGCCTGCTGCACCAGAGGTTTCTCTACTAGGGGTGCTAACAGTTATCCTGTCGCTGAGGTAACGGAGTCTTGCAAGGGGTTGCTTATCTCTTGTTTCTCCTACTAACAGCTAATTTCTTATGATTACCCTCTCACTAGTCATATAACCTAATACCTCCATATTCTCACATCCTACCTCATAAACATCTCAGCCAACCCCCCAGGCCCCCTTCTTCCACTAGAAACTGTAAACCATTAAGCAAACCTATTGACTATATGGTAGAAGATAACCGGACTCATCATTTCTGATTATAGTGACAAAACTATAAATGTAAAAATAGAAGCTAACTGATATATGGCTGCACGTTGGGTACACTGAGTGCTGTAATATTGATTTCTTCCTTAATAGTGAGGTATAGATAACCTATAGGGACACTATAAGACAATACGGCAGAAGCTATGATACTTCAGATAACACTGCAAGAGAGAAAGATACATAGACATCATGAAAAAATAAGGGAGGAAAGTGCCCCCAACAAACCAAGATACTACAACAATAGAATCCATAGATAGCACAATAGGTGAAATATCAGAGAAGGCATTCAGAATATACATAACTAAAATGATTTGGGAATTAAAGAACGACCTAAGTGAGCAGATAAAAGCAAAAACCGATCACTCCAACAAAGACATAAGAGACCAAATACAGGCAACCATCAATCACACCAACAAAGAGATAGGAGAGCAAATACAGAGGTTGCAAGATATTATTTCAAGAAAGAGAGAGAGATACTGAAAAAAAAAAAAAAAAACCAAACAGAAATATTTGAAATGAAAGAAACAATAAGACAATTAAAAAACTCAACAGATAGCATCACCAACAGACTAGATCACTTGGAAGAGAGGACCTCCGATAATAAAGACAAAATATACAATCCTGAAAATAAAGTTGACCTCACAGTGAAGATGGTAAGAAACCATGAACAGAATATCCAAGAATTATGAGATACCATCAAAAGACCAAATTTAAGATTTATTGGAATAGAGAAAGGTTCAGAGATTCAAACCAAAGGAATGCACAATCTCTTCAATGAAATAATATCAGAAAATTTCCCAAGCATAAAGAATGAACTGGAAAATCAAATATAAGCAGCCTACAGGACATCAAATGTATAAAATCTACACAAAATGTATAAGATCTACAAATGTATAAGATCTACACAAAGACACATTATAATGAAAATGCCTAGCATACAGAATAAGAATAGATTTTTAAATGCTACAAGAAAGAAAAATCAGATTACCAATAAGGGAAGACCAATTTCGATCTCAGCAGATTTTTTTAACCCAGACTGTCAAAACCAGGAGATCCTGGAACAACATATACCAAGCTCTAAAAGATAATCGATGCCAACCAAGAATCTTATATCCAGAAAAATTAAGCTTCAAATTTGACAATGAAATAAAAACCTTCCATGATAAACAAAAGCTAAAAGAATTTACAGCAAGAAACTCTGCACTTCAGAACATTCTTGGCAAAATATTCCAGGAGGAGGAAATGAAAAACAATAATGAAAATCTGCAAAGGAAAGAACTAC